AGCGGTAAGAGTGTAAATAGAATGAGTTGAATTAGGCTTGTGTAAAATATTTTAGACAACACTTATTCTGTTAGTTTTGTGTAGGCCCGAAATATAAGTCTGATCTTATCTATATTTAAAAAACAAAAGTCTTATCTATTAAAAAAAAGACTTTGTCTAGACTTATTAACTTGTAAATCTATTAGGCATTCAATAATTAAAATAAAGGAAAAATATTTTTACTTTTGTTATAGAAATTTTATTTCTGCCATACTTACATAAAAGTGAATGGGTCTCACTAATTTTTTTTCCTCTTTTCTCTTTCTAGTGGGACACATTTACTTTTACGTGAGTGTGTCGAGAAATTTTTTTTCTAAAATGAAAGTAGAAGTATTAAACCCTTAAAATAGTATTATTTTATTATTCAAAATTATTAAATTAATAATTTATTTTATTTAAATAAATAATATAATATAGCTAGGCCGAACTGTAAATTTATAAGCCAGGTATATAAAAGAAAGTCTATGACTTTGCTTTCTAAATAGACTTTTTTTGAAGCTGTCTATTCTATTTGACTATATATAATAGGTTGAAACTGATCTGATATAGACCGAGCCGTAGATCTCTGTTAGGCCCGATAACCTATTTATACCCCTAGAGAGAGGCAAATAACTTTAACTATAACTAAGTGTGACTCATTAATCCTAGTTTGTGGAGATATTAAGAGACCGACTCTCTCGAATATGTAATTAAGGTCGCGGTATATATATATATAAAAAAAATTCAAAATGAAAAGTTGAATTATTTTCGTCATCTTTCTAGTGTTTTTTGTGGTGCAGAATGTAACGAAAGTGGGAAAACATAACAATGCAATCATAGATGCAAGCGGCGCCTCACACTTTTGCATCCATAATTAAGATGGAAGCTAAAAGGTTTCTGTCTCTTTCCCTTTGCATCCATATTTTGTTTATGTATTTTGATAAAGATTGGTTCATTTTATAGCATTTTGTTAACGTGGCACACTTTAAGAAAAATATATAGTAAAATAAAGGTATAAACATTTAATATTTTTAAAAAAAATTAAACATGAAATATTTTTCTTTAAATCATTAAGATGACTAATAAGCGTAAAAGATACACGTCAATAAAATTCTTAATTTTTTTTGTAGACAATAAAATTCTTATTTATATTTATTCTTGTGACTTCCTCTTGTAAATTAAGAAATCTAAATCAAGGATGCAAGAGGATATAAATGTTATTATTTTTTTTAATTTACAAGATTTAAAAAATATGTTAAGATTTAAGAAACTTAAAAGGCCAAGAAAATCAACGGCTAGATGTGTATATACAGAAAAAGAACAAGCTCAGAAGGCGTAGCATGTTCGGATCATATTTTTTTTTAGGAAAAAATTAATGTTTTTTTTTTTTTTCAACGCTTAATAAACTTTTAATTATAAATTATTTTAAATATAAAATAAATTAATTCAAACCCATTTTTAAGATAGAAAATTACCAAAGTATTCACAATGAGTAGGTTAGGTTCACTGTAATAGTATAACTACAATGAACTCAACCATAAAAGGGACCCACTGAATCTTTTTTTATTTTATTAATAAAATTTTGAACGTAAAATCAAGTGAGATTGGGCCGTTGAACTTAAATTGGGCTATATGGACCATGAGATACCTGCACTGCATCATGGACATTGGACTGGATCTGAACAATGGGATTGCTAACCCACTGGCAATTGCTTGAGTATAATTAATTATAGTCAACTTTCTCTATGTTGCATGCAACACACAAGGCGTATTTCAGGTTTCCCTCCTTCCATGCTTTAGGCTTAGCCTCCATATGCGAGCTTAATGTAATTTCATTTGCTATAAATCAGGTTCATCACCATGAGACCAATTGGATAACTAAACCGTGTAATTGAATGCTACATAAGCGAGATTGATATATGTTTTTATCTCTTAATTATTATTGTTTCTGAAATCAATAATACTTGCATGCAGAAACTAAAATATTCAACATTATATTAACCAAATCACATGAATACAAAATATGGTATAAAAAAAATTGATTAATCATTCCTAGGACTTCACTTAACAGCTTATTTCAAGAAATGTACAAAACTTTTGCAACTCTTCTTAAGATTACACTTCAATCCTGGGAATATTTTCAGCAGTATGCATCAAATTGAAGTCCAAGAAGTTCGCATTAAGATAATGACTTCATGACACTACGACTAATCCAAATGTTCAAACCCAACTCTTTCACCATAATGCATAAATAATGTATGAACTTAGTTCGCATTATTGCTGATGCTTGAAAGAAGCGTAAGGAAAACTGCGGTTTTCCCATTATATATATATATATACATATATATATATATATATATATATATATATATTGAAATATATAAAATCATTAAAAAGTCCTCACCCGTTAGGTTAAGCTTTTGGGTTGAATTGGTTCATTACATAGTATCAGAGAGCTTTGGTGTAGCATACGATCCTCACCGCCCCCCTTTATTTCAAGTGAAATTTCTTTCTTCGCATGGGCCTGTGCATTGTCCACTCTTGAAGCCCAGTGGACTCTCATGCGAGGGAGCGTGTTGAGATATATAAAACCATTAAAAAGTTCTCACCCATTAGCTTAAGCTTTTGGGTTGAATTGGTTCTTTACAATATATATATGAAGTATGATACTATCTTTTTTGATCTAAATGCTCTCAGATGGTGTCAAAGGATCCTTCCTTATATATATATATAAGGTAGGATCCTTTGACACCTCAACTTATAGCCGTTAGATCAAAAAAGATCAATGGAATCACATGCTTACAAATCAGAGTCGTTGATCTTTTTTGATCTAACGGCTATAAGATGAGGTGTCAAATTTGAAATTTGACACCGGTGTCAAAAGATCCTACCTCTATATATATATATATATATTTATACGAGGAAGGATTCTTTGACACCAGTGTTAAATTTCAAATTTGACACCAGTGTCAAGTTTGAAGTTTGACACCTCATCTGAGAGCCGAAAAAAAATCAACGACTCTGCTTTACAAGCATGTGATACCATTGATCTTTTTTGATCTAACGACTCTTAGGTGAGGTGTCAAATTTCAAATTTAACAATGTCAAAGAATCCTACCTCATATATATATATATATAGAGAGAGAGAGAGCGCAATAGTTTGTACTACTGTAAAGCCAGTAATTCTTGTTGTTTCTATTTTGGAGAAGAGGTCTTATATGTTAAAAGAAATTACAAAGGTTGATCATTTGCAACATACATTTTAGATTTACTGAGACTTAACTGACTTGAAAAGGATTATTCTGATTTTCTGAACTGCTAAGTGAAATATCACTGTGATTTTCTGTAATAATTTCTGGTGTAAGCAGCAGAGAAATGATACTTTTAACACATGCTCTTTCAAAGTGCAAACCTGCCTTATCCAATTATAACTCCTTCGTCTTGCCCTGCATGCAAAGAATATCCAACAACGTGATTTGTTACTTATTGTAAAACCCTTCCAACTAAATTTTTATCCACATAATCAGAGAGAGAAGTCACTGAATATTAAAATTGGTTGCAGTTGCAGTAATTTCCAATAACTTTTGCCTTTGGATGTCTAGAAATGTGCATATCAAAGATATTGTCTTTTTGAGAAACGAGTTTTAATATATTCAACAAACCAAACCTCTTTAAAATGCATCACATCTAAAATTACTTGTAAAGACAATAGCTTAAGAGCAATTCAGTAAAGGCACATGAGTACTTTTATACTTTATATTATATTTCAAAAATGAGGCATATAAAACGAAATACCATTCCATTTTTTTTCCCTAACAAATATAAGAATCCTTATTCTATAGAATAAGGATTTACAAATTAATAGTCTTCCATGAAACAAATTAACACAATGTTTGTTAATGTGATTTTCGTGACAATTAGGCTTGTGTGGTAAGGGCAACAAATTATTGAAACCTTTGTTGGTATATTCCTTTTATTCAATAGGACAAGGTTCCCATTTAACCTTCTTCTTTTCTTCTTTTAGAAAATACTTATTTTTACATTTTTGGAGCTCTTTTATATCATTTGGATAAGAAAAACAAACATTGTAGATAACTAGATTTAAAAGTAGCCCTAAGCTTTCGCTAATGAGAGACTATATATAATGTATATAACAATCTAGAGAAAAAGTCACGAGACAAACTAAAAGGGCATTTCCAAGGCCACTTGTCTCTTCACATGCACAGACTAGCTAGGACCAGATTTAAGTATTCCAAAAGGATAACCAACATTGTTATAATTAAAATTTTCCATGAACCACAGTACTATCTAGCTAGCTATATGCAAAGTGTGTTTAATCTAAAGGAGGATTGTGTGTTATTAATTCAAACATATATTTGTTTAAAACAATACATCACAGAGTTCCAATATGTTACAGTTTCTACGTCAGATTGTGTATGTAATCACATGCAACGTATGATAAATCAAGCTCACACATCCATGGGGAGCACAAGAAATCTCACAGAATCAGAAAAGGCCCAAAATTAGCATAAAGCAAACACCCAAGAGTACTATTTAATTTAGGAAACACCAATAACAGTGTTTTGAATGATAGGAGAGAGAAAGCGAGGGGGAGGGAGAGAGACAATATTCTTTCTAGTCTAATCACTATTACTCTTACAGTCTTAGCTAGTAAATTATTCTTTAGGCAAACCATTTCTAATCGACAATGTAAAATTAGGGTTTTTATTCTGCTTCTAGGGTTTTGTACGCTGCAAAATGGTATCCCTATCCATACTTATAACCCTTCTATATTATATTTATAACTGATTCACATATATAATGAGTGCTACTCTAATGTAAAATCTCAAATAAGTTGCTAGTTAGTTCAAATATCAAAAACATTCAAAGGGTTGAAGCCAATTGCATGAATCAAAATATATAAAGCAACAATTATAGGCATCATAAATAATACGACAAAATTACCATCCGCATCTCCCATATCAAGAAGCTTGTTCTTCCTTGAAAGCTTTTGCACCTTGAGTCATCTTAATTTGGTTCCTTTTCTTCTTCTTCCTCTTCTTATATAGGATCCCTCTTGCTTTTGCCTGGCAATCCTTCACCTCACGCAGGTACACCCGAACGGCTCCGCCTCCGAAAGGGTTGGTCTCTGGCGACCCGCCGTGCTCTTCGTAGGCGGCTCGGAGCCGTCCGATGAGGGCATCGAGACTACCCCAAGCCTGCCTGAGAGGGCAGGCACAGGGTGCAGGGGGGGCAGGTTGGCCAAAGAAGATGCAACCGTGCAAGTGGATCTTGGTCTTCCCAAATTGATCAAGGTAGCGCAAGAAATCTAGAACATGGTTGAAGTTGCACTGAGAGAGTGGAACTGGGGGAGTATGATTCTTCAGGTACTGACCAAAGGTGTTCCAGTCTCGCCGTTTCTGAGACTCGTACCTGCTCAGTTGTTGTTGTTGTGGTTGTGGTTGTGGTTGTGATTGTTGTTGTTGATGACTGGAGGGAGCTTGTGATGATGAGGAGGAGGAGCCATGAGAAGAACCATTTTGAATTTGGGAAGACATGTCTCTGGTAACTATGTGCTATGGATGGATGGAATATTGTTGGGAAGAAATAACAGGGTGAGTGCAGTGGAGAAAGATGAAAATCACGTCTTGTGGTCTTTTGAGAGGACATGAAGTGGGTCCTATGAAGTTGTTTTTCTTCTCCTTTTTCTCCTCTTCCATCCTTTCCTCTCTCATATTTCTATTTTTATTCTGGGAAAAACGTGTTATTGTTTTAAATAATATAAGTTATATCCTTTTAACAATTTAGAATTATGTGCTTCTCGTATTATATAGGTATAATATTAAAATTATATTTTTTTTTTACTTTCTACGTCAATCAACAATTTGAGAGAGAAAAAAATAAAACTTTAATAATTATGTACTTCTCATAGGTGTAGTTATAAATTGTTAAAAAGAAATTTTTTTTCCCTTTTACTTTTATCCTCTATGTTCTAGATATACTATTATATGTATTTTTTAGATAGGTAAACAAATATATACATGTTTTTTTTTTGTATATATAATATATACATGTTTTATTATGTAGGACAATTCCATATACTATATATATATATGATCATCATTTTTCTTAATAGGCATTATGATCATCACTTGGTAATGGTTTGCATAGGACCCTCTTTTTCTTGATTTTGTCTAATTCATGTGGGAGCCAATTAGAATTAGATTACTCATTAGTCGGTGACTCGATGGGTGCTTATAATCTAAGTCTTGCTTGATTTTGGTATTTTCTTTATGGGTAATGTTTTCCTCCTTTCACATGACACAACCAATTTTTTGACAGAAACATAAAAGTGTACCCATCAATTCTTTTATTTTTCTTTTATTTTAAAAGTAGTGGCCTCCATATTAATTGTCTCTATGACATGACCTAAGAATTTTCTTACAACATAATACTTGTTTTTGCCTTTCTTTATATGTATACATTATTAATAAGCATGATTTAGTCCACTAATCAGCTCAATTGGTATAGCCGTGGACCGTGGTGCTGTTGGATGAGCACAAGAAATTGATAAAACATTCTATTGGGACATCTCAAAATAACTAATAAGTAATAAATAAACTTAATAAAAAGGTAATAATAACCCACTATATATTGTATTAATATTTTAATGAGTTGTTGTCGTTAATGGTAATTTTCAATGGGGTTACTTTTACTGTTTGATTTGTTTAAAAATAAAGAATAATATTATATAAAATTATATTTTGTTCAATTTTTATTAAACTACATAAATACTGGGGGGAAAAAGAAATTCAAGGAATAATGTAGAATTTCAAATTTTTTTTTTTTTTTGGATCAAAAAAAGTTTAAGTGGGGTTAGACACCGGTATCCCACTAGGGTCAGGGAAGACCCCCAACCTCTTTGAAGATTTCTGAAAGGGATTACATATCACCCACCAACAAAGTCCTCACATCGGCCAGCGGGGTTTGAACTCACGCCCTTGAGGGGTATGGACCAAATCCTTAGCTAACTGTGCCCACCTTTATTGGCAGAATTTCAAATTTTTACTTTCCACTAATTAAGTCACAAAATTTTATCCTACATAAAGAAAGCAAATCAATAACTCTTTTTTATTCTGTTTAACTCTATTGCGTGTGAATTTTTTAATTTTTTTTTAGATACTTGTGATGTACAGTGTGCAGCATATTTACTCTACGATCAATGGCGAGAGCATAATTTGAAAGAGAAGTTCATTGTTAAATGATGGTTTCTGTGTCTCCGTAAGGCTCTTTTCAGAGTTTGCTTGAATAGGTGCAAAATGTATGAAGCATCAGAGATACCTTCGACCCCCTGTTTACAAATTTTCAGCTCTAAATTAAATATGTCAGGTTTGGGAGTACATGCATTAATTGACAAATGGTTATTATACTGCCTTGACCCCCAACATAGAAGTGATACATATTACAATTCCCATACCGCTTAAGGTCTAACTTTGCTGGAAAGAGTTTAAAAGAGGAATGCATTTAAATGATAATAGGTCAGTTGATATCAGAAAATTAAATAATTTGAATGAGAGCATGTGTTCGATTCTTTTCAGTATTATTTTTGAAAGGAATTTAAAGTCTTAATTCTGGGACCAGCCTCGAATCAGACTCGTCGCAAAGCGATAAACCGATTGGAATATTAAAAGAAAAAAAAGACAGGATTTAACATTTCAATTGCGTCTGATTAACTAAGGGGGTGTATTGGATTAGAATTTTAAAATATTTTTTTGAGATAAAAAATCTTATAAATTTTAAAAGACTATTCAGAATTGGAGAGACTTTAAAGACTTTTTTTACAATCAAGAATTCATAAGATTGGATTTTAATAGAATTTATAAGATTTAAAATGACAATATGAATTTATAAGATTTTAAAAAATCATATGAATTTTTAACAAACATTAAAAATTACAAGAGTCAATAAAAAAAGTTAACAAAGAAATGCAATAATATTAATAAAAAAAAAGGAAAACGTAATATAATTTTCTCAATTAGTAAAATTCATGATAAATTTTCGTTTGAAATTTTTTGCAATTGATCTTGTAAATCATGGAGTTTTTGTTCTACGTGATGAGAGTTTTCTAACAATATATCATATGCATGTTTTCATTGAGTATTCCAAGAAAATTTCGAATCTGAATTTCTGGGTTTTATTACATGAAAGTTTAGAAAATTTTCATATTGTTTTCAATCAATACATTGAAATCTTAAATTGCTTTGGGGGTTTTGAAAAACAAGTTTTTAGTGATCTATTGACACAAAAATTGTTTGAAATCATTTCCTATAGCGAATAAATTTCGTTCATGAATATATTATTATGAAACATAGGGTTCATATTATGAAAGTTTCGATCTTTCTTTAAATCGATCTTGATTCATTGATGTAAAATGAAAATTGGTTTGAGAAATTTTTGTTCCCCTTGTTGTTTTTCCACTATTTTATGTTATTTTTAATACAAAAAGCACACTGTTCGTATCAAGAAAAATCATGGCCAATAGCTTGAAAAATTATTTTTAAACTTTCAAAAATTCTCAAAAATTGCTTTAAAATCTGCTATTTTTGAGATGAATTAAATTAAAATCTTGTTGGGTTGTTGTTCCTGAGTTGTTTTGTGAAGAAAATCACTCAAAAATCTGTTGTTTTTGAGCTTTGACGAAGCTTCCATGGTGGAACTCGATTTCGAGCGGGTTGACCCATCAAAGGAAGAAGAAGACACTGCAATAGAGAAATCTCTAGAAATCCTAGGGGTTAGGGTGAGATTGTTAAAGAGACATCCTATTTATATTTTTCACTAAAAAGTCTCCCGAAATCCATACCAATAGAAAATCCATTAAAATCGTAAGATTTTTGAATACCACAAGATTATTTTTTCTTTGTTTAAAATCCTGATTGAATACCAACAAATTTGCATGGACTCTAAAATAATTTTTTAAAATCCTAATCGAGTACCATAACTTTTTTGCAATCCTTTGAAATTCTAATTAAATACGAATGGATTTTTTTGTCCAAAAATAATCCATGAAAATCATTTAAAATTCTAATCCAATACATCCCCTAAATAATGAGTTCTTTTTCATTCTTTTAATTCAATTCCTCTGTTTGTACGATAATCTTTTTGAAACTCTTATGTATACAGAACCTCAAAGCAGACATCCTCAAAGTGTTTTAAAATTCATACATCATCTCAAATCTCGTGATGAATAAAAATGAATCATTAGGTATGATTGTCGCATATATGAAGCATTTATTCTCCATTCTGTCTTGGCTTGTGACTCACGTAATGCTTGAATTCGGGAAACTATTTCTTTGTCAATTTATTGTCCATATACCGAGTCTTATAATATTCATATATCTAAAAAATTAAAATCATTAAATTACAAAATCAACTGTTAAAATTAGGAAAAATTAACATATTTATAAGACTCTTATCTCTATGATCGTTTCCACCAATATCTTTTTTTTTTTTTCTTTTTTTATAAAGAAATAGATACTCTTATAGCATAGCATTAAAAGTGTGTTCCTATTATTATTTTTTCCTCTCCCATTTCGTCCTCTTTTATGTGCGGCTGCATTCAGTCCGTGTAGGATCGATGTGTACCAGAAATGTCAGCATCTAGCTTTTGGTAATCACACACTTAACTGAACAGAAAGAATTACATATAGGAGCACATCCACGTGAAATGGCCCCCACTTTTTTTTAAACGGTCTCCAAATAAATGATTAAATATCTAGCTAGTCTAAAAGTCCCCTATATAAAAGACAGACTTCGTTCCTCCTAGGATATATAAGTAACTTTTATAAATTTCCTCATTACTCCTTGAATAAACTACCTTTCCAGTATTAATAATAATGAATCATAGTTTAAGTTCTTCAATGTAGAATTTCAAGCTTGTAATAAAGCATCATTTTTTTTAGAGGACACCACCAAAGATCCCAAATCCTACTTTCTTTCAGATACGTGAAAACAGAAGGGCACAAGTTTGAAGGAAAAACTCATCTATTGATCAAGATGTAAAATTCATAGCGTTTTTTTCACAACATTTGACACTGAATATCACAAAATAAGTAAGATCATCTGAATATCACAAAATAATTAGTTTGAGGGTAGACATATTCTACTCGATTGAGACCTGTCACAGAAAATGCTTGGAGAGTGAGAGTGTTAAGATTTTTTAATTTTTAATTAATCTGTTTTTATTTGTAACTATAAAAAAATTATTATTTTTTATAACTTAATATGTTTCTTATTTTTATAATTTCAGTATCCATCCACAACCAATTGTTATAATTGTCCTGCTTCTGCAGATGATAGCTGAATGTACCATAAAACCTTTTCATGGTAGTTGCAATAGCTAAGATTATAATCTGGTTATCAACATAACTCTTCCTTCTAGCAAGGAATATATTTGTGAATTTTGAATCTGTAATTTCAGAATAATTTGCCCACGCTACACTAAAGTGAGAAAATTATGGTTTACATTGGTGCTTAAATATATAAGGAAATATGAAACAAT